TGGGTTTCGCATGCGAGGAGGAGGAGGAGGAGGAGGACCTGATCCGGTCTCCACGGATGGGAGTTATGTGCCAAGCCATGAAAAACAGCTGCTTGGGCCCGTCGGGGGAAGGAAAGGGGGAGCTTGTTAAAGGAAAGAGTAATCCCTCCCTCCCTCCCTCCCCCCTCTTCGCACGTCCACCCTCCTACGTGCCCCGGGACCTCAACACATACGCACACATGGGACACGGCAAGTCACCTGGTCTTGCTCCGAGGGGGGAAGGTGCTCCGCCGTACACACCAGCGGGATATTTTCGGACGCCCGATCCGGCCCCCTGTCGAACCACGTGAACACAGACAGGGCTGCCGTGTAGCGCTCCAGGGCGGCTGAGGGATCCTGCAGGGGAAGGTGAGGAGAGGACGGAGGATGAGGAAAGAGAGACTGGGGGACGGAAGAAGAGGAGAGGACAAAATCCAGAATTTGGATACGTAGGAGATGCCCAGGGGTTTGAGAATGCTGGTGCGGGACAGGGGGCCCTAAATTAGTGAGTACATGGACGCCATCACTAAGATGGACGCAGTGGAACCAATGGACTTTCAACATTTTTGGACTGAAATGAACGGAGTTGACGCGGTAACGTAATTACTTTGTTGATCAGTTCGTTGCCCTGCTCCTTCAGTTGGAGGGCCGTGCTGTACTGGATGCTGAAGCCGCCCGTCCGGGCGCGCAGTACGGTGTCATTCGCTGCTGCCGTGCAGCGGAAGAAGGGAGGTGCCTGCTCCCATTCTTGGCGCTCAGGTTTAGATTTGATTATCACAGACTGCGCGTGGTAGAAGCGTCGCTGATCAGTCTGCTGGGAGCAACCCTAGGAAAGCACGGTTTCAACCACACCTTTAACTGAATTGCTGCAGACAAGTAATCCTGAAAGGTTTGGAAAGGGCCCATCCTGTTACGAAATTGTAGGCGTGCAACTGTGACGCGCGATGGGCCAAATGGTCGTCATAATTTTTACGTCAGTTGTTGTCGCTCGTTGGTTTTACGCTATTTACAGATAACGGATAGCAGGTTTGTACTATCGTTAACCAGAGCTGTGGTCGTTTGGACTTTGGGCAAGCCAGGCCGACGAAAGGCCGAAGGTGCACGACGGTTGTACATCAGTTAATATTACCAATCAGGCATACAGAGATATAGAGATTTCTCCTCAACAAGGTGTTTCGTTCATCTCAACTCAGGTCCTTGCAGCTCCGGGTTTGACAGGGGTCTGGGTCCGCACCGGGGGCACCCAATTGACATAAGACGATATGCTGCCCGAGCGTACTAGCGATTGACTTGGGTCAACAGCAAGTGTTGACGCCATGGGATGCGTTACGAGCTCGCCTGTCGAGGAGTCCGCCCCCGGCAACGCCCCTTTCGATGCGCTGGGAACTAAGGAAAAGCCAATTAAACAATATGCACGACCAAAATGGAAGTCTCAGGAACCCATGACGTCGGCACAGCTGCAGGTGCGTAAAGCAGGCAAGGAAAACGATATGGGGGAAGTTTCCCTCATCCATGATAAGTGTGTCAGTGGATTGCACGCCTTGCCAAGGGACCCTCAAGGTCCGCGCGCTATATCATGTGATTAGACGAAACTAGCACATCACATTATGCAAGGCACTCGCCTGGGCCGAGTTAGGCCTTACAGGCTTTCCCTCTTGTAGCTGACTTGCCCACGCCACGCAATTCATCCGTTTCCTCCCGCCTGCCCCAACAGAAAAAGAGGGAGGAATTCTGGGACACGCAACCACATTATGGAGGAGACCGAAGTAAGTCAACTTTCCTTTTGCTCGAAGCACAAAAAAAGGCGCCGAAACCCTGCAACAACACCACTTAGACCAGCTGAACTTGCCTTGACCGCCGTTGGTGACATACATGGACGGAATTCACGGGTTTGGAAAAGGGACACCTTCCCGGAGGAGAAACTCTCCTTAAAAACCAATCGGGCGCCAACCCAAATGGGGAACTGTGGCATCTGGCGCATATCAGCGGGGAGGGGAAACGAGCCGGGCCAGGCGGGGCTGCGCCCGCTGGGCCCGTGCGGGCTCCCCAGCGAGCCGAAGGGTAGCACCGCAGTAGTATACGGGAAACGCGCTGGTGGCTGCGGGGGCCGCCAATCTGGAATCTTCCAATCTGGAAAGTTAGGAACTGGCGAATATACCTGGCAGAGAACATACCGGTACCGGACCCCACGTGACTGTCCAACGGAAGCAGACACACAACCGCACCCCCCTTTTTCCGCCCTCCGCTGGGAATATGCGCATATCCCCACCGTAAAGAAAAGGCTTGCTCGGAAGCACGCTTCCAGCCTGCCGATTATCGCGTGTCCACTAGGTCCATCACCTTCACCTTGTCGTCGTCCGTAGCTTTTATCATCGCCACCCCCACGCACTCGCACGGAACCTCTGTGGCATAACCCCCCTCCGCTCCCCCCATCCATCCATCCATCCATCCGATCTCACACCGATCCACCGCCGCCGTCGTGCGCTCGCGCACACGCACGCACGCACGCAGACATCTGGGACGCGCTCAAGGCTGCATGCGATGCAGATCCGGAGACCTGCAAGTTGGTGATTGAGAGCGCGGGCATCATCGTCGCCGCTGCGGACATGTCTGTGTGCTACGATGAGCGCGGCGCAAAGTACGAGCTGCCCAAATACGTTCTGAGCGACCCAGTCAACCTCATAAAAGAATGACGGGTCCGGTCCAACAGGAGGGTCCCAAAATGTGCAAACCACACCTCCTGACAGAGAAAGGAGGGTGGTGAAAGGCCTACAGATGGATCGGATCGGCGAGGTCAGCGGAGTCCAGGAGGCCTGGCGAAGTGTTTTTGAAAAAGGTCACGTGCGAGCTGGGGATGACAGGTGTCAAGCAGGGCCCGGGGAGACGAGGACCCCGGCGGCTTTCAGTTTCCCCCCGCCACCGCCCCCATCAGCTGTCTTAGGTCCCCACCACGACCACCATCCCCATGGCTTTCACGACACCACGCGGCACCAAGCTCACGCCGGGGGATCCTGGCCTAGGCAGGTGGAATGTGCGCATGCCGTTGAGAGAGAGGGGCAGCGGCTTGGCGGCAGCAGCAGCAGCAGCAGCAGCAGAGACGGCGGAGGGGGCCGGTAGCCCCCGTGGCTTGGACCGCGACGGCGGCAGAGTGGCCACGGCTGTGGCTGTAGCTGTGGCTGTAGCTCTGGGTGCTGCACGGTATTGCTGCCTGATGTTGCTGCACGGCGACTGGTCGCGGCTACTTGTTATCGGGCTGTCGGCTGGTTTCGTTCTGGACCTGGCACATGGGTTTTCCTGCGGGGGGGGGAGGGACCTGGTTATGTCTTGGAGGGAGAGATGGCTCATGTGGTGGTGAGCGGGCAAGTGCTTGAACGAACGAACGAACAATACGTTTTTAAGTAGGGGTTGGAGAGGACGGGTAAGGTTGGTTGGTTGGTTGGCTTGTTGGAGCTGGTTGGGTAGGCGGATGCCCCGCCACCGTCACGGCGGCACCCCGCGGGGAAAGCTTTGGGGACGGACGGAGGTTGTGTCGACGGGTGCCTGTGTACGACTAACTACGACCTGCATGTGCTGCTGCTTGGTGCTGATGGTGTGTTTTTCAATGCGATGTCATAGTGGCATGGCTCGATGGTTGCTAAACGGTAGTATTGTTTGACTGTGTGCTGCTGTATTGTGACTGCTTGGGATGGGAAAAAAACAGGTGTCGGCTATAGGCATTTCATGGTTTGCGCGTGGCGGGAAAGAGAGGAAGCTGCAATTTGCTGTCGCTGTGGTGTGTTTTGGTGGCAGGGGAAACGGGGGGAAATGGGAAAAGGGAGGGGGGAGGGGGAAAAGGCGGTTTGGGAATTCTTAGCTGCTGTGTTTTTGTGCCCTATTCCGGCATTTAGCTGTCAAGGGTAAGCGGTGGCAATTCATACGTTATCTGTGCCTCTGTCTGCGCCCGTGGTGGTGCGCATTTTTCTTCTTGGAGACTGGTGAGTTACTGTTTTCGGGATGGGCCATGAACCTCGAACACATAAATGCCGCTCCTGTGTACGACGACCGGTACGGATGCGGGCATGGGCATGAAGCTTGGGCGGCGGTGGCACCGGCGTACATGCCCTTTCGCACATCGAAGGGTGCAGTGTTTCGGTAGGATGCATCGCTTGACGCGACCGAGATTCCGCTTTGTTGAGAGCTTTTGACGGAGCAGTATAATTGGAAATGACTCATCGTCTTATATAATATATTTTGCGCTTAGGTGTGCTTTTGCCCTCGTGTGCCAGCATGCATGGCTATACTGGGTTTCACTCGAGCGACATGCATATGTGGTGGTAGTGACATGCATGTGTGTGGTACGGCAACAAGGGCCTCCCAATCGTCGTTAAAAATGTTGAACCCAGGCATGGCTGAATTGATGGACGGGATTGCTGCAGGCTGTCGAAGTGGCCGCTGCTTCCCTGCCGCATGCATTCTTCCAGGTAAGGGGTAGACGCGGAAGAATGCTGTGCACTTGTACGAGCAGATGTACGAAATTCGCTGCAGGCGCTGCCATACCTTGCGGCAGGCCCACGGCGCCCATGGCAAGTGTCTCGCTGATTTTTCATGCGCATAATAAGTGGATTGGTTTTTGAAATAAGAATAAAAAAACGTGTACTTCATGCACGGCGGCGCATTTGTAAAGGGGGGGGAGGAACCCGTCGGCAGCTTCATGATTAGGCAAGTTGTAACCTGTCAAAGGTCAAACCTGCGCGGTTATTTTTGGGGCGGTCCGCACGTCCTGCACGTCCGATGGGGGAAGGTATGTTTGTGCCTGGTGGTACGCGTGCCATGTATGTCGTACAGCTTATGAGTGGAGCGGCGCATTCCGCTCGGCCCACCTTCAATGTCTGTTGGTTTCCGATGGTGTTGTCATATCGATTTAAACTAACTGAAATACCTTTGGAGGTCTGTCCCTTTCCCGTCTCAACCTACCCTCTTGCAAGCGTTTATGTTTTTTGAATTGATTCCCGGCCGTTGTGTGCGATCCATGCTGAAGCTAGGAATGACCTAAATCGGAATTGTTTATATTTGTCTCTTTGCTAAACGCAGCAGCTGTTGGTTGCCGGAAAATTTGGGGCGCAACTAGGCTCCAAAAGTTGTTTCGCCAGGAACTCCACTTGGCTTGGAATTATTTGCTGGGGCAGAGAGTATGAAGCTCCTTTCGGGTTTGGTGGATGCGTTGAAAGCCAAGGACTACGGGTTCTGGGCATGCGTGGCTGCTGCGGCGACAGCGGCCGTTGGGATAGCCACATACTACGCAAGAAAGAGCTATGAGATATATGTTCCAATTCAGGTAAAGCATTGGGCTTGCATCTGCGCGCCCAAGGAAACTGCTTCCCGCCATCATCACGCCGAAAAGCAGAAACAATGCCCGCCATCTCGACATGCAGTATCAATACCGACCTGGCACCATCAGCGGTTGGTTGGCAAACGCACTGGCGAAGCACTCCAAGAGCCGCCGCAGTAGGTTCCGTTGTCCGTGCCCATGCCGGTCCATCACCTTGCCAACCCGGTTCTGGCCGCGTGCAAATTTGCAGAAAAGCGCCCTGTCCGCGTCTACCTTGACGGTTGCTTCGATATGATGCATTACGGCCACGCTAACGCGTTGCGACAGGTGCGGTATTGACTTGGTCCATCCATGGAAGGCCCCTGAGGCATTCAAGAGGGCCGAGCCTTTGTAATACGAAGGCAGAGCGTTCCCAACCCGTGTGTGATTCCTCTGTTTCTTTGTATTGGGTCCAGGTCCGCAAAGTGGGCCGGGTCCAGCGGCAGTAGCCTTCCCTTGCACGAACATCCACACGTGGAATAGGATCCCACGTGGCCCTCCTGTACATACATGCAATGCCAAAGTGTGGCAAGAGTTTCGGGAGCACGGTGTTTCGTAGGAATGCTCTGTGACCCAGATCCTTGCTGCGCCTCCGTACTACCCATTTCCTCCCCTTTTCCCTTCCCCCCCCTGCGTAAACGTGATGAGCACCTTTGAACCCCCACCCCGCCCCGTCGTCTTCCCGCTGTTCCTCCTTCCTCGGCGTGTCTCCCAGGCCAAGGCTGTGGGCGATGAGCTGGTTGTGGGTCTGATCAACGACGCGGAGATCCTGCGTTGCAAGGGGCCCCCCGTCATGAACGAGGAGGAGAGGTACACGCTGGTGGAGGCGGTCAAGTGGGTGGATGAAATACTGAGAGGTGAGCGGACTTAAACCACAAAAATCACAACAAACATGGAATTATATTCCCAAGCCTTGCAGCCCCGGAATCCGGAAGTCCTATTTGCACTCCCCTTTTACAGCTCTTGGTTGCATAGGCCTTTTTTCCTTAGGGTTATTATTGTATATTTTATGTCGCCGTCACCGTCACTGCCATTAAAAGACCAAGAGCGACATGACCACCACCGGGACCATCACATCACATCACCATCACCGGGGCATTACTGTGATCACCAGCATCAGCACCAGCATCAGCACATCCTTAACGGATCGACGTGTCCACACGATACCTTCCCCCGCGGGGTTGCCGCGGGGTTGCCGAGGCGTGTGTGCGTGTGTGTGTGTAAGGGGTGGGTGGGGGGTGGGTGGGTGGGGGGTTGAGTGGAGTGGGTGGGGGGGGGTTTGAGGGGTGCCACCGTAGCTGCGGGTCGGGGAGAGCGGGCTGGAGGAAGGGAAAACAGGTTGATGGCGGGAAAAGTGAAAAAGCAGCAAAAAGGCTGTAAAGCAGGCCTGCATGCATGAGCATCGACTTGAAGCCGTGAAGGTGACAGGGATGGGAGGGAGGGAGGGAGGGAGGAAGGGGGAAAAGGGATTCAAGAAGTGAGATGCACAGGTGGACGGCAGCGGGTCGTGAAACCCCCCTGCGACAACCCCCTCTCCCCCTTCCCCGAGAGCTGCACAGCACACGACGACATGGCTGGGATTCCGAGTGGTGGAGGGGGGAAAAAGGAGCGGGATGTGAGCGGTTGGTAGTTCTTTTCGGTGATGGTGGTGACGATGATCATGATCATGATCATGATGATGTAAGGAGGAGGAAGGAAGGAAGGGGTGTCGATTGTTTCTGCTGCACGTCCGAAGCCGCAACTAGAAGAAGGGCCCCAACAGGGGAAAGTGGTAGTTAGTTAGTGGCAATTCTGTTGACAGGGGTGCACCTAAACAGGGCCCTTTCAGCGCCGCGTCCCGGTTCGTCAGGGCCCCCCCTCCCACGTCGGCTCCTTCTTTTTGTGTTGTTGTTGCTGCTGCTGCTGCTGCTCCTGCTGTCATTCTGCTGTCGTTCCGCTGTACGTGTGCATGTATGTTTGTTTCAGGTGTGCCGTACGATCTGAACCCGGAGTTCATCCACGAGCTGTTCACGAAGCACCGGATAGACTACATCATCCACGGAGATGACCCCTGCTTGCTCCCAGACGGGTCGGATGCGTACGCACATGCTAAGAAGCTGGGGCGGTTCAAAATGGTGCGAAGGGGGGTGGGGGGAGGGAAGCATCGAGAAGAGTGGGTGGATGGTGTGGAGAGGGAGCTTCCTCGCAGTCGCCTCCATCACCTCCCCCCCTCTCCCCGATGGATGCACATCGCCACCGTTTTTTTAATCCAGTTGTCCTTCCGCTATGCATGTATGCATGTACGTATGTACACACGTTCTCGATCCACTCCTTCCCTCGCCATATCACCACCATAATCATGCGGTTGCTGCCCCAACCAACCAACCAACCGATCCGGGCTTATGCACGCAGGTGAAGCGCACTGAGGGTGTGAGCACCACGGACATTGTGGGCCGGATGCTCACATGCAGCCGGGTCAACCACTTCATCAGCCATGACGAGGTAGGAAGGGAAGTGGTGGTGGATGGGGAGGAAAGGGACGGGCCCCGGCTGTCCTTGCGTGGCATGGGCTGTGCGGATTGCTGTGGGTAACGCCCCGTGGGGTTCTTCCTGGGCTGGTATTGGGTATTGCTTTCGATCTAGGGCTTCTCCGTAATTCGTATGTTTGTATGTATGTATGTAAGCATTCGTGTGTGCTATAATTCCATGGCGCGTACCTCTTTTTCCCCCTTGGGCCCCTTTCCGTTTCCATGTGGCTCCTGTTGAGCTCGTTTGCCCCCCTTTTCCCCCCTTTCCCCCCCTCCAACCTGGGCCCCCTTTCCCCCCCTCCAACCTGGGCCCCCCTCTCCCGCAGCCCCACCCTCTCGCCAAGTCGTTCAGTCTGGGCAGCCCCCGGGAGGAGTCCGGCAAGGAGGCCTCCAGCAGCGATGCGAACACCAGGACCACTCTGAGCAAGTGAGTGAGTGAGGGGGGGGGAGGGGGGGGGTTGCGTCAGTGTACGTGATGGCCGTACTGCGTTACTTTTTCAATGTTTCGCGTTGCGGGGACCTGAGCGACGGTCTGGGGTAATGGCCGACTGGTGACAGAGAGGGCACAGGGGCACTGGAGGGAGAGGAGGTGGGCCCTGGCCGTCGCGTGTGAGTATGTGTACATGTGTTGTAATGTAAGCAACTGCGTATGCACACATACATACATACATACATACATACATACATACATACATACATACATACATACATACATACATACATGCTTACTACCTAACGTACTTACCTACAGACCACCAAGGGATGCACGGAGAGCAATGTTGGTTTGAGTGCCCACCTGCTGGTGTGTGTTTTGTGCGTATGTATGTATGTATGTATGTATGTATGTATGGGGATCTGTCTGTCTCCTAGCTCTTGGCATGACACCCCTGGTACTCACCTCCCCACCGCCCTACCTCTCTTCGACCACCCCCACCCCCCCACACCTTCCTGCAATCGGTGCATTGGAACCCTAAGGTTGGCCGCGCTTCCCCCCTTCTCCGCCCTCCTTGACTATGCACATATTCAACCACCCGACCTCCACCCGCCTACCCCTACCCCCTTCCCCTCCGTTCCCCCGGGGTCATCATGCCACGTCATGCCACGTCATGCCATGGCGCCAGGTTCCTGCCCACCAGCCGGCGCCTGGTCCAGTTCTCCAACGGGCGGGTGGCCCCCGAGGGGGCGCATATCGTGTACATCGATGGAGCCTTTGACTGCTTCCACCCTGGCCATGTGAAAATCCTCAAGGTGTGTATGCGGCGGTGGTTTGGGAGGGTGTTTGGGGGGGGGTTAGTGGGGGTAGAAGCAGTAGGGGTGGTTGTTGCACCGTTTGCAGTTCAGTTCGGCGTAGGGAAGAGCACCCCAACCTGCCTGTCTCACAGCGACATGCTCACCACCCCGCTCTCGAGTTTCTCCCCCCTCCCCTGCACACGGCTTCACTTGTTCATGGTTTGTCTTTTCCCCGTTCCCCCCACACAAACAAACCGCTTGTGCGCACGTGTTACCTTTCCCGCCCCGTCCGTCCTCCTTGTCGGGGCTGCTGCTTAGCTCGGTCTTAGGTGAGGCCCGGGCTGCAATCCGCCCCTCACACGGGCTCCCCCAGGGGGGGCCACCTGTCCCGCGTATTGTTCTGTTTCCCGCTGTGAACACACACACACACACACACACACACCACCACCACCACCACCACCACCCACCCACCACCCACCCACCACCACTACCACCACCTGGCTCTCCCTGGCCAGGCCGCCAAGGCTGAGGGCGACTTCCTGCTGGTGGGGCTCCACACGGACGAGGAGGTGCAGGCGCGGAGGGGCCCCCACCTGCCCATCATGAACCTGCACGAACGCAGCTTGTCGGTGCTGGCCTGCAAGTGAGTGAATGCCTGTCCATATGTATGTGTGTGGATGTGTGTGGATGTATGTATGTATGTATCCATGTGTGTGATTAGGGTTTAAGTTTTTGGGGTACGGATAAAATGTCGGGGCTGTAGGGTATGTGTGCGGGGTGGAGGGGATGCGGGGGGGGATGAGCGACCAATACGATATGAGTAATGCGGAAGGTGGAAGAGGAGCCCTGTGGGACTTGGGAGCAGTGTTGAGGCGGGGGGGGGGGAAAAGGGGTTTCCTAATCAGGTCGAGGCGGGGGAAAAGGGGTTTCCTAATCAGGTCGGGCGGAGACCGCAGGCCGTCCACATTAAACCAAAGTGGCCCTTCAAGTCGTTGTCCCGTATGTATGTCCTGCAACACATCCGTCAGCGTCCTCGCCAAGAGCCATATCCGTCGAGTTGGTGGGGTGGGGTGGGGGGAAGCGAATAGGCTCAGCAGCACTGCATTGCCCTACATCGCGCTGCACTGCACACACACACACACACACACACACACACACACACACACACACACACGCACACACGCACACGCACACCCACCCGGGGTGAACTCCGCTTTGTGCGATTGAGCATGCGTGTGTTGTGCGCAAAGGTGTGGCTGTGTGTGTTTATGGGAGGTTGCCGCCAACCTTGCCGACAGACCTTGTTTCTTTCTTCCCAATCGAACCATGCATCAAACCTGCTGTACGGCAGGTACGTGGACGAGGTCATTATCGGCAGTCCCTGCGTCATGACGGACGACTTGATAAAGACGTTCAACATTAGTTTGGTGGTGCGGGGGAGTGTCTCCGAAACCAGCATGCTGGGGCCCGTTAAGCAGGTGAGGCGGAAGAGGGCAGGGGATGAGAGGTGGGAGGGGAGGGAGGGGAGAAGCTCATGATGCCGATGCAAGATTAATAAGAGGCACCTGCCGACACGTCCAGCCCACACACTCTCACAGCCTGGGGAGGGGAAGGCGGTGTGGAGATGTGGAAGAGGAGGATAGGAGGGTGTGGGACTCGCGAGGTGAGGGGGAAGGAGGAGGGGGAGGGATAGGGGGCCGCCAACCAGGGTTCTTCACCCCGATTCGGGCCCGAACTTTTTTGAGATATTTCCGTTTTGCCCGAAAGGAAAATTAGTGTGCCCCGGAGTATTCCGAACGGAGTTTGGGCCTTTTAGAGCATTTTTTCGGGGACCCCACCGAAGCCTTTTGAAGGCATTTTCGGTGAAAACCGAACGATATTTCAGCGTAAATTTGCATGTTTTCGGGCGCAGACGGGGCCTGGAAACCGGGCTTGCCGTATAAGGCCCGCTGGGTCACCAGTCAAACAACAAGTACATATGTGCATTGCGGCTGTTTCGCAGCTGTATCGCAGACATTTTTATACATCTAAGCATATCCATATGCCACATTTGTGTCCTGCCCACTCAAACAGCGTGTGTTGAGCGTGGCTTTAGTGTCCACCGCATTACCAAGAACAGGCTGCCGAACAGGCTGGCTGTCCCGTCCATTGATTCCCTTCTGCGTGTTGGATTACTCGGTCCAGCCGTGGATATGAAATGCCAACCCCTTGTGATTTAAAGCTGCTGAGGAGTATGTTGCAAAGAACCCGGATGGGCTCCTGCACCGTATTGCCAAGGTGGGCAACTGTGTTGTGGGCAGTGAAATTGCTGAGGCCTATTATCCTTCTGATAACGAGGAGGTCGAGGGTGTGGCAAGTGATGAGGTGTACCCGCCTGAGGAGACGGATGATGATGTGGCAGGTGTGGTGGAGGCAATGGCTGCAGAGGTGGATGAGGAGCGGCGCCTTCTTGGCTTTGGGTAAAATCCTTGCTGAAATATTTCTCCCAGGCGCTATGTTCCAAAACAAAGTCAAACACCTGTTAATTCGGCCGTCCTAGCATATAACGGTAGAATCCAGCTAAAATTTACCCCGAAAACCGCTTCAGACAGTTTCGGGGTACCCGAAAACACTCTCCGGCTGACAGGAAAATTTTCGGGGAGGGCCCCGAAAGGTTATTCAGAGGGTATCGGACACGGCCGAAATTTTTGGTTACCCTGGTGAAGAACCCTGCCGCCAACCCGCCAACCAGCCTCCCAATACAACCAGCGCCATCATAATAACCCCCCCACCACCACCACCAACAACAACAACAACAACAACGGCATCCCCCTCCACATCCCCCGGTGCTCCATTCAACCCTCTTATTGCCAGCTGGGACCCTTTGGGCCCCCGTAGCACGTGATTTCCCCCACCCCGCCACCACCCTACTCCCCTTCGCCGCCCTCTCCCTCCCCCTCCACGCACACCCTCCCGCCCCGGGCGGCCCCTCCCCCTCCCCCCCACTACACCCCACTACACCCCCTCCAGGAGCGTTACTCAGTCCCCCGGGCCGCCGGCATATTCCGGGAGCTGAGGAGCCCCTCGGAGGTCACCGCGCGCAACATCATTCACCGTATCGTGGACAAGCGAGCGGCGTTCGAGGAACGTAACGCTCGCAAGGTCAAGGGCGAGGAGGCTTACTATGCGGAGGCCAAGTCGTACGTGCAGGAGTTGTAGAGGGGAGGGTGAGGGCTGGGCCCCGGCAGATTGACTCCCCGGGGGGTTTAAGATGATTCGATTCGGGCGCTAGCTGCTGACATTGTTGTTGATAGCGGTGATGGTGGTGGTGGTGGTGGTGGTAATAGTGGTGGTGGTGGTGGTGTCTTCTGTTTGGCTAGTTTGTTCCTGTTGTGCAACATGGTGTGTGCTCAAGCAGAGGGAGGGAGGAATTCCTTCCGTTCGACTGTGTCGTATGTCGTATGCATGCATGTATGTATGTATGGCGTTGATTATGCTGTGGGCTTAAAAGCCGGGGGGGGAGCCAGAGGGCCGAAACACAGCGCGCCCGGGTCAGACCGCGTACGAGATACGACGGCTGACACTAAGCAGCAGCGCTCCCCACCGGGGGGTAGCGCACCAGCTAAACGGCTACTTGGTCCGCTGGTCACCTAACATTAACGAAGTCTCACTCGGGGAGTTCTTACTACGGCCAGAACGTACAGGAAAACCTCAAAGAGCACGTGTTCAGGACCTGGGCGACCGGGAGCCCGACGAGTCATCCCGGGCTGCGGAGGTCACCAAGCTCCCAAAAGCCTCATTTAACAGAGCGACCAGCCACTCGCCTGTTCAGCAAACTGGCTAAGTTTAGTAAAGGTATGGAGTAATCTTACATGTAACGGATTATTCTTTAACCTTCTTGTATCGCACGTATAATTCAGAAATGCGGAGATTACCATAGATATCAAAAGGGCGCAAAGCGCTCACACCACAAGACGTCAAACAGCCTCCCGGGACCACTTCCCAACCCCGCCTCTCCCCCCTGGGCTAGTCCAGGGGAGGTATCAACCGCAGGGGGGGTATCACCGCACGTGCCCATGGCCCCCCTACATAACATTGGGCCCAATTCGGAAAGTGCGCTAACGGGGAGATCCTGCTACGACACTCGGCGCGACCAGGCCCCCGAAAAAACCGCGGAGGGGAGTCGGCCCCCCCCCTCCTTTACCGCTCTACCTAGGCGGCCGGCTCCCAAGGCCCTTCCTTACTCACCACGTCCCGCAGCACCAGGACCCCTGAGTGTCGTACCCCGAGAGAAGCCAGCAGCCCGGCAGCACGCACGAACCTAGATGTACGGCCCCTCCTGGGCACCAACCTCCCCCTCATACCGCGCCCTCACTACACTCCTCAACCCTACATCCTCTTGGTGCTCTTTCCGCCTCTCCCCCTCCTCCCCCGATCTCACCCCACCCTTCCCCCGGGGCCCCCAGCCTTCTTACTCCCCCGGCCGCTGTTGTGGATCCCCCACTCGCCGCCACAGCTCCCTCGAACCCATAACCCCTCCCTTCCCGTCTCCTCCCCCCCAGCCCTCTCCACAAACCTCCGTAACCCATCCTTACTCCCTCAACCCCCACTCCCTTAACCCCCGCCACCTCCCCCGCCACCTCCCTCCAAAAAGCCCTGATTGGCCCCGAAGCCCCAATGCCCCATCCCGCTCTCCTTGAAAATATGCACGTATGTATGTATGTGCTGTGCTGTACGTTGGGCGGAAGAGGCGGAGGAAGAAAGGAACTGGAAAAGGGTAGCTAGCTGTAAGGCGGTCGTGACAGCTCCAGAATTGTGTTTTACGGTTTTCCTTGTTGGTTAGGTTTTCGGGCCGCGGTGGTCGGGCTTGCTTATGTTCCTTACGGTAAGTCCGTTTTTTGGTTGGTGACCTGTTGCTAGGTTGCATTTGCAATGCAGGAGGTCGCCCATTCCTTGATGGGGGGGCGCCCATCAGACGTGTGTTGGATGAACTGGTGGCCTGGTGCAACGGTGGTGGTGAAGGACCCCGTACTTGCCATCACCCAGACACGGACACTGATTGTGGAGGAGGGAAGGGGGCGGTAGGGGAAGGGGAAGATGCGCCGGCGCGCTGCGGGTGGATGAGGGCAGTGGGAGTAAGCGGAGGGAGCGGCGTGTTGCCCTTTAGAAACGCATCCTGCCTGTGGGGCCTGCTGCTGCTGCTGCTGCTGCTGTTGTGGTTGTCGCTGCTGTCTTCAGCTTCTTTTGCCATTTACCTGTGTGAATGGGTGTGTGGCGTGTGTTTTGGAGGCCAAGAGGGTTGAAAAGAAGATACGCTGTTGTGGAGGTCGGGAGTTCGAGTGCGCTCCGTTTGACAAGTAGTGTCGTACACAGTCGACAAGAACCTGGGAACTTGCTTTGGTAAGCTTTCGTGCCCTTCCCGGCCTCACTCACACATACACACACACACTCGCTGGGTTATGCGGGCAGTAGCGATGCAGGGCGGCACTCCACCACTGCTGGCGATTATTCGGTCCGATCCACTGATCGGTAACTAACACCTCATTCAGAGGGAGAAATAGATAGAGATTTCAGTCTGCAGTTGTCAGGCTCCCCTAAGTCACAACACCTCTTCCGTGCGCAATATTCTTGTCTTGGGAGGTGGGCTGGGTGAGCTGGGAAGGAAAAGAGGGATCAAATCCGGGAAAACTTGGAAAGATGTAAACTGTACATCTTGAATCGATCCCCTGGTGTGGGGGAACGGGTGCTCTGAGCAAGTGTGAGGGAAAAAACACTACATATAAAATGAAGTCTCATCGTTTGGAGAATGAAGAGGCTCCTCATATATAGGGGAACATAGTACGGTAGCATGGTCGTACGGTAGTCTGACTGTACAGCCGCTTCTAGGAGAGAAGAAGGCACACGTCATCATGTACACGGTTTGTGTCTGGTATGTGCGTGTGCCTCCTGGATAGAGAAAGATTCCTCTGCATGCTGGCAGCCCCGGAGAGGTTCTCAACATTCCCTCTTGGTGGCGAGGAGGAGTTCACGGGGGAGTTCACTAGCCAGCCGGGACAAAGGTTAATTCTCTTTGCCCCGACAATATATATTGCCCAGGTACTTGCGACAAGACCAGTTTAACTGCGGAATCAGATAAAATATTTCTTCAACTCCGGTGAGTTCGTCCGCACCCAAGGCCGTGACGGTACACAAGTAGATGTCGTAAAGCTCACAGGCAACAGTTACAAACGGCGCGCGCGCGTCAATAACAGCGACAACATCGCTCAGTGGTGGATGTGCGAGGGTCCACCCACCCAGCCACGCTCTCGCTCCCCCCGGATAGACCAAAGAAACAATACCCTCTTGCCCTCCCTTCTGTGCCATCAGCAAAACGCCTAATAGGGTACTCATCAGCGGTACAACTTAAATTACCACCAGAATAACAACGTCAGCAGCTAGCGACGCTAGCTATATGCTAGCATCAGGTCACCAAATTACGCTCTGCCTGCCCGCTTTCCCTTTTCCGCCAGCTTGATGCTGCCAAGCTGGTCGTTTTATTATTCACAGTTTTAATTTTTTTGAGTCGTCTATCGCCACGCAGCAACCGACCCGCAAAACATCACGCTCCAACCTGCCAAACCTACAAACACGCCTCCTAGAAATGAAGCTTCGAACATTATCATGCATCCCAAACCGCCATCCTGGTATGCCTGTACATCCGCAAACGAGGCTGTATGAATACAGGGCAAGGTACTTGGTGGTACATGTCTGCCAACCTGCTGGGAAAATATAATAACGACAGACAAGGACCTCATGTTTATGCCCCGCCAAACATACAGGTGAAAATAACCTAACACCAAAGCAGCCTAGCCTGCTCTGCGCTGCTATTTCGAGTGCTGTAGCCAAGAGCCGCAAAGAAAAACTCATCCCTCCCACACTACTGCAATCCTCTACGATCCTTCCTGCGCGCGCACGAGCACTGCTGCTCCTTGTCACCGTATCTAACCCGACTCAAGACGGTTCAAGGGCCCCGTGAAGAAGGGCACGAGAAACAGCAGGCATTCGCAAACAAATGGCGAAAGTGCCTTCCTCACGCTTACCGGACAGACATGGCCAATATCCATCGCCCGATTAACTGCTGCTACCACCGTAAAGTGCAAGATGATTCACTTCCGTACAACATCCGCGCGGTGCTGTAATCGTTGCGTGGCAGTGTCCTCGGCTACCGCGCATTAAAAGTTGAAAGAGTTTCAGTTTCAGACTAACAATTAGAAGCATGTCAACGGCAAAGCACGGAAAGATGGCCAGCAAGTTGGGGCGCAACCAGCATCCCAGCTCGGTAACCCTCTTCCGCCATGAGTAAGCTATAAATTATTATTTAGGACGCAAATCGCAGTAATAACTCAGCGCGCAAAGGATTATGCAATCACAGGGTGACCAACAAAACTTTCGCAAGGCCAAAAACCGTTACACTGCCTAGCTAACGTATGAGAAATTAACGTACCAATTTGGTTATGATAATAAGAGACGAGAAACGAGCAAAATAGAAGCTTAGGAAATCAGGCAAAAGGCCCAAGCATTAATTGCGTGGTATCTAATGCTTTGTGCGCCATCCCTCCATCAGAGGGCCTATGAATGCTCTACTGGCGGGGACAGGTTTGGTCCCAAGGTGTCCTGCTGTGGCGATGTTCCCCAGCGGCAATCAGTCCGCCGCTACTGTTCTCTTCCAGCCCCGCCGGCACCAGCCGCGCCATTTCCTTGCCATTGTTTTGTTGGAGCTTCCCAAGCCGTGCCGAAGCTGCTTTCTTAACGCGAAGCAGATACTCTTTTGCCTGCGCACAGCGGTGTACAAAATTTTCATGAGCTCAAATTGTGTCGACATTTTAACAATAATACGGCACTCAGGCCTTTCTGCCAAATCCTCCCCGCAAGCAAGGAAGCGTATTCCACTTCCACGCACGCGCACGGCTGATAGGTTAGCAGTCAAGAGTCCACACCCAATCAACAAGCCTGAATCTGCTTAGGCAAAGCTCAAGGCGCTCACCCACCTTGAGCTTGGCCAACGACGGTTGCCGATGGCGGCCTACTGCTGCCACCTCATCAAAGTAAGGCTCGTTAGCGCTGTCCCCGCAAATGAGGCTACTCGTCATGCTGCGGCTGGACAACTCTACCTGCTCCTGCCGTCCCGGGTAACCGTTCTTTCGTTGCCACCAGCATTTGCTTTTCTCAAGGACTGTAAAACGTTGCGGGAGTGCATTAGCGTGAACGTGTATTGTATCAGATTGTACCGTGTTTTGTGCCGTTTATAGCTAATACGGAACAAAAGGATTACCAATCATAGAGCTACGTAGGCAGCAGTACATTCTGAAGGCAACAAGCAGCAGGCCGTTGTGTGAACGCCCGAGTTCAGCACATGAACTTACAAGTGGAAGCGCGTTCTTCGTGTTGTTGAGCGGAAACGGTCTCCAGCTGCTGGAACTCGTTCCCGCCCCGCTGACGATGCCCCATTATCAGCCCCACGGTGTGCTTGCAGGCAACGGAGGCCTTCAGGACCATCCGCTTGAAAGGCAGCTCGCACGGGCCGGTTGTGCAAAAACGAGAAGAGCAGGGTAGTGATTCCAACATTAATATAACTATTTATTTCAAATAAGAGTGAAATGCAGACTTCCTTAAAGCCGACGCGTTAAACAATCTAGGCCTTTTAAAGGTGTTGGTGGCAATCAATAGACCCCACGCCGACCTGACTGTAGTCATCTACATAAAATGACGCTTAATTTAGGTTCTACATTAATAGAACTGCTATGCTGTGCTTTTGGAAGTTGTACCACCGGTTTTAGGTTTTGGCATTCGTACGGACTGGTGCGTTGAGCAATACCATCCGTAGCGTTTCCTTTTCGTAAATAGATTTGATTTTCATGTTAAGTATGATGCTTGGATTTTAAGAGGCTTTTTGTACAAGCATCCCTGACACGTTTTTGACTATCAACATAATGATGTATAGCCGCCTCTAAACTTCTTGTCCTCGCGAATTATCCAGTTTTTAATTATGTCTTGATCCTAGTTATCTCTTGAGGCTGCAATATGCTACTTGTTTCTTGCATTTTGGTCCAGTGACCATTTGGTTGGGGGGACCTTGGCAACTCAGAAATAGATTTCCATCCCAAATCCCAATTTCCATGATGTTTCATAACCCTCATGCGGTTAAACCAAAGCACGTAATGGTCGCGGCGTCGGCAAAAGAGGCAAAAAGCATCGGCGAAGACATCACCTTGCTCACATCTCGCCCCAAAGTGCAGCACTTAGCCAACCTGCACACCAACAAGTCGTTATTTGTCCGTAATCCATTACTGTAACGGCTCTTAATCCTAACGCATGTGCGGGTAAGCAGGTGCATGTTGCATGTGCCCACGCATGGCCGGGCGAATTAGAGGGCCAGAAGGCCCCCGACCGTAAGCAGATACGTTTGTGGCAGCGGGCCGACCCAAAGCGCATCACAACCCGAAACATGAATGAAAGCTATCTATCGCACACGTTACATAAATGTTCCGAATCGTTTTCCTTATCCCGCACCCGCACCCCTGTCTGGAAATGAGCTCTGCTGGGTCAATACATCAGTATACCCTGACTTATACGAGCCAGACGGACGCTAGCTCACGCTGTCTCCTATCCAGGGGCCAACCTTCAACCCAGACTTCGTAACTGATTCTCGTTCTCCTCCCATAAACCATCTCGGAGATCTGGTCTATGGGAGAACGAGAATCAGTTACGAGGGGGAGTCCCCATGCACTGCAGTGCAGCAGCAGCAGCAGCAGCAGCACCGAATCTATTACTCCTCTGCATTCCCCAAAAGATGCAATGCAACTACTGCGAATAATGCGGAAGCAATAGCTTTGTAGTCGTACAGCCGGACTATAGCCCTAAGTACCACTGCATTATTTTGCGCAGGAAAAAGGTATATAATTGTTCTCAAATGGTTACTTCAGGTATCTTCATGGTGGAAGCCATTACCCTTATTAGGAGTTGTAAAAGATTGCTGAGTTCCCTATTACTTGGTTGCCTATTCGTTGGTTGGTTGGTTGGTAGGTAGGTAGGTAGGAAGGTAGCAACCGAAGTAGGGCGTGTTGGGCTTTGAACAACAAGCAGACGAAAGACAGCTGACTGCCCCAGCTCGAACTCGGCGTTTCCTCCCCACCCCACTCCACTCCATGCCACCCGCACCCACATACCGCCTCGCTTACTTATACACAGTGTTAACCAAACCTCCTACCCCCGCTACAGCTGCTGCTATTTTGCTACAACATCTGCTACACCGACGTCAGCCGTACAGCTGTACGGCGTATGTCGTCCTGTACATCACCTGCCGCCCGGTAGACGGTGCGACCTTTCCTTTCGAAAGGAGGGCCCCTCGACCCCCCCCCTCCTCTCCCTCTGGGAGCCCCCCACTCCCTCCCTAACGATCAGCCCCCAACCGCGGCGCTTAGTCCCGGTGGCCCCACCCGCCCCACTCCCCCCTCCACCCCGTGCCCTGCTTGTTGGTGTTGTGCTTCTGCTGCTTCTGCTTCTGCTGCTGTGGTTGTTGCTGCTACTGCTGCTACTGCTGCTACTGCTGCTACTGTTGCTACTGCTGCTACTGCTGCTCCTACTGTTACTGCTGCTACTGCTGCTACTGCTGCTACTGCTGCTACTGCTGCTACTGCTGCTCCTACTGCTCCTACTGCTGCTCCTACTGCTACTGCTGGCCAGGCGATTGTCGCAACGCCTCCACCAGTAAGCTAACCTGACACACACACACACACACACACACACACACACACACACACACACACACACACACACACACACACACACACACACACACACACACACACACACCTGGGCGAACCCGCCGCTCCCCCACTCATCGTCTTGAGGGATACACATGCACCCCAACAACCTTAACTGCCCAACGCCCGAGTCCAATTCAGCAACTCATCCACATCCAGACCTCCGAAACCACCACCACCTCCTCCTCCCCCTC